TGCCTGGGAAGCGCAAGGTCCTGAGTTCAATCTCCGGTACCAAAAAAAAAAAAAAAAAAAAGTTATGACACAGTTTTATAGGTAGATCTCTCGAAACTGTTGCAAATAGATGAAGTCGGAAGTTACCTGGAATTAACGTATCTGAGAACATCTGTAAAATAAGAGATGCCTGCACCTGAGCTCATTTAAACCCTGAGTGCTCAGCTCTTTGTATTCAGGCTGACTTGGTCCATGGCCATATAAAAATGGTGCTATTTTTCCAATTACACAGAAATGCTCATGTGTGCAAGAAATACTGACCTTTTATTTATGTGCACCAATTTTATTTTTACCGTGACTCCTCATTCTACTAGCAGTTAATAATTTGAAAATTCCAAATAAATTTCCTATATTTTGGTTAAAACTTATTAATTTGATATTTCCTTCCTCCTTTCTTTTTCTTGCATGGTGAATGCTTTGCTTTGCCTGGATTTTGATATAGTGAGGATTGTGTGACGCCACGTCATCAGAGGAAGAGTGCAGCTCTTGAATGGATTTTCCTATACAAATATTTAATTTGCTTTAAAGCAAAATATTTCCCTTGTGATAGAAATATCTTCAGCAAAAAATCCAAAGTTAATAATCAAACATTCCATTTTTTGTTATATCCAAAGATACAAGCTAAAATCATGGAAAGAACAAGTGTGACAATTGAAACTGTGTCCACAGGAACAGGGAAGGACATAGAGTGACTCCATGGGGTAAGGAGAGAAAGATGAAAGAAGGAAAAGGCTCTGTCCCTGGAAATGAAACTTCAAGGTGCTGGGACATCTCCTCAGAACCCTAGGGACTTAGCACAGACAGATCAAAATATAAAGGTAATCAACCTGGGACTAGAGCACCAGGAAGGTCTTCTGCAGATATCAACACCTACTTTTGGATACTCTTGTATCTTTTTCCACAGCTCTTTGGAGTCAGCATATACTCCAGGCTTTTCTCCATCCCTACTCCCAACCCTAGGAAGGCAGGGGCTAAGAGTGTTTCTTACTTTAAGGATAAAATCCATTATTTAAGGAAGGTAAGTTAGTAGTTGGAAGAGATAATTAGCAGAGTTCATATAATGGGCTTTGGAATTTTTGAGTATTTTTAAAGCATCAACATCTTGCCTTAAATATTCCTGTTTCAGTACATGCCATCATTGGAGGGGGTGGTGTAGTGTTTAGTCTTATTGTTTTCAACACACAAGCAGAAGGTGATGACAAATCATTCCCATTTGTGACAATTACTAGAGGCTGAAGGGTGTTTTTGTAAACTCCATGTAAACACTGATTTACAGAACTACCTTTACTCTGGAACCAGTGTATTTCCCAAGGGTGCTATAATGCAGATAATGCATTTGTGTCTGTTCCACTCAATTTATAATTTCTGTAAAAGGCATAGATACATTTTCTAATCCTAAGAGATAAATATAATGGTACAGAGTACTAAGAAGCTAAAATGCTAGCTTGAGGTTTCCCACTAAAATTTTTATTGTTACTAATAAGGAAATAGATGGAAGGTATGGATTTTCCTGGATTAAACTTTAACTGGGTTAATGACCAACAAAAATCAAATAGGGTTTGCGTATATTCCTGTAATGTTCAGATTCCGGGATCTGAAATCTCATTGAAGGTTCAGACTTCTTAACTCTTTAGAGTCTCACTACTTTATATCATGGAAGCATTCACCATGTGAAAATAAAAGAAAAAGAAAATGTATTAATCTTGTGTACTTCACACATGACCTGAAAAATCAGAAAATAAGGAAGACAGGAGGGACTTGGCCATTAGGTATGGAGAGTCTTGCTGTGAGATCAGTTTGCTCTGCATACAAGAAGCAATGGAATGACATTCTTTTTTAATGATGCATCACATTATAGAAGCACGTGAGATGAAACGGCCAGACCTCTAAGGGGAACACAAAAAAGTAATGATGACAGGAAATGATAAGAGAAAAGAAATTGGACGATTCAAGCAGACAGGCTAGAGAACTTGCTTCACTCCCACTCAGATAGTGGGTCTTGTGAAATCAGGACCCTTCTTGGAAGTCAGTTGGAAGTCAAGTTTGCTGTTCTTCCTGATCTCATTTTTCTCTCTGTCTGTGACCATCTTATAAGCAATGATGACAAAGCAACTTAGTAAATGTGTTTTTTCCAGGGGCTATGTAAATCCAGGCTGTTCCTCCTTAGCTTTTATAAGTTTCAAAGGCCTAATAAGATCAGAGTAAAGAAAGTACCATTGTTCTCCCACGATGTCTTGAAGGGTGACATATCTCATTATTCAGTGAATTGACTATATTTAGTTTATTACTAAGGTCTTTCTGACATCTTTTACCTTACCCAAAATGGGTGAGCTCACTCATGGAAATCCCCTGAGCAAACTAGCACATTCTGTACAAAAATATTGTGTCTTGACTTTGTTCTTCTACATCTTCACAACTAAAGGAAAGAGATACAATCAAAATGATGGTCCACTTACATTATAAACAAGAGAATTTAAAGAGACATGACCCAGTTACTCACTCATGGGGTGACAATTTGAGAGCAGTTCATGAGATCTGAGTTAGTGGACATATAGAACTTGTGATTGCTCCTTGAACACTTGCCTAGTTCCAGGAATTCATAATCACCGCTTTCAAAAAGGATATTCAGGTCAGTGCACAAAACATGCCAATTTTTGTAAATAAGGCCTACAATATTCTAACCAAGCTTTCAAAGCAAGAATAATAATGAGGACACAAATCACTGCCTGATGAACAACATCATCTCTATCTGGTTTATCAGACGTTTTTGAATGCCAAAAGAAGTTTCAGATAGATGAAAGAGATAGAATAGGACCCTGTCGGTTAGATTCTTGCTTCTCTGAGTTTGCACTACAAACCATGGCATTATAATGGTGTAGGCCATATCTGTCTCTGCATCAGCTTCAAAAGTGAGAAGGAATTCCAAGACTGTACTGACACCCTCCACCTTTCTTTGTTACTCTTGTGAAATCATCACACAACTGTAATGATGAGTCAGTGCCAGCTTATTAGGCTTTTAGAGGTTTTGATTTGTTTCACACCAGGAACAGTGCTTTTCATCCTACTGAAGGAACCCTTTTTGTAGTCTCATAGTACCCAATAATAAATAGGGAATCGATAGAAATTTCTAACTCACTGTCCTTTTCTGCTCTCTGAACTCACGTCTTTCTCATCACAGTCCTACAGCTTCCTCCAAAGGACAGTCACTGTGAATGAAAGGGAATGGCTGTGTGGCTAGAAGCAAGACTAGATGATTCAGCTGAAGATCAAGCAGAAATCTAGCTTCCAAGAGGTATTATCTTCCCGCTGGGGACTGGACTAACTTAAACTCGTACTTTGGAACACTGACAGTGGCTTAAACGACAGCCCAATTGTGTGTGTTCTTTGGTCCTAAGAAGATGGATGACAACCAGATTTCCACAAATAAAATCCTAGTAAAATACAAGAAGGAAGTAAATATTTTACTTTTTAAACAGAAGATAAATAGACTTTCTACAGGGAAGCAGCTGGTGATGGTTTACTATTTGTGCACCGTAAAATACCTGACTCATCTACTTAGTTCTGATTTTGCTGCACGAAGGCATCTGTAGACTGTAGACAAAAAAGGTGAGACTTTGCTCCACAAAAATATATTACACATCAAGAGACTTCTCAAAAGGGAAGAACAACTGGGAAGAGGAAAGGTGGGAAAAAAGAAAGAAGAAAGGAAAAATACACACACAAGATAGCAAAGATAATTTTACTACTAATTCCTATGTATTGAAAGGAACAATTAATGCTTAATTTTTGACCAATTTTGCATGCTTATACCTGATAATCTGCACAGCTGCTCTGAAGACAACAATATACCATATAACTACCATTGGTGAGTTCCTATCATCTTGTTTATAAAAATTCTGTAACATTTCTAAAGTTTTACATATTACCTTTTATTATCTTTAAAATAAAATTTTAAAAAAATTACACAAACAAAGCTGGCCAGATAGTTCAGTGGACTAAAGCACCTACTTCGGCAGAACACAGCAGCCGGAATTCAATCCCAGGCATGCCTTTTTGACCCTGCCCTTGGGACGTGCTGAGAGGGTGATGGAGACTGGATGGATGTGGTGGCGTGCACCTATAATCTCAGCGCTTGGGAGGCTGAACACAGGAGGATCACTACAAGTCTGATCTGCTTAGTGAGACCCTGTAAAGCCTAAAGATGCTGTACTAAATTTTTAAAAATTACATAAGCAGAACAAAGGGCAAATTTCATCTCTAGTTCAGTTTACCAAGACCTGCATTAAACATAAACCAATTCATGAATGAATGCCCACTATAATGAGTGAGGTCAGGATAAGTGACAGGAATACACTCAGGAAAAAGAGGGAAACTGAGGTTGTGGAAACTAAGAGGCAGCAAGTAAGCTATTCAAAATAAATTTATTGTGGGAGGGAGAAAGGAGGAAAGAGGAAGAAGATGGAATAAGAATTAAAATGTGCTCTGTGTATGCATCAATTCCCTATAAGAAAAGTGATCATTATGTATTACGAACATGTACTAACAAAAAATAAAAACTGAAAAAGAAAAACCTTCTATAAACTACTTTATACAATACAGAATCTCTTTTGAAAAAAAAAAAAAAAAACTCACTCCAAATAAAGTTGATTAGCTTTATAAGTTTAGGTTTTTGTCTTATGATCCTTTATAAATTGAGCTGCAGCTTGAGATTACTTGAATATTAATGTACAATGTGAAATGTTATTCCAAAGTAAGTATAGTGATTTGGGGGTCTGCAAGGAGCACCAGAAAGGTAGAATAATTTAAATTGAATTGCTGTATCTCTTCATTTCCTCGCCTTCGGCTTACAGCATAATGCTTTTACTAAGACTTCCTGTTTCTGACACTTGCCTTTTGTGTGCTGTGTTTATACTTCCCCTACTTGTGGTTAACTATTAAGCTGTAGATCTAGTCTTCTCCACCTCTCTCATTCATCTGTCCATACAGGCTCACAGACAGGTCTGCTGTCTCCTGTTTTCTCTCTCTCTCTCTCTCTCTCTCTCTCTCTCTCTCTCTCTCTCTCTCTCTGTGTGTGTCTGTCTTTCTGTGTCTCTCAGAATGACAATTCTAGGCAAAGCTTTTGCTATAGTTTTCTATTTAGTTCATGCTGTTTCTGGAGAAAGTGGCTATGCACAGAATGGTGAGTCATTTCTTACTTTTTGGGGGAAATATGGGATTCTCTCTAGCATATGCTTCAGCTTATTCATTTCCCAAGCAAACCTGAGCAGGCTGCCAGATTGCTATGGAATTCGAGAACTTAATATTCGCTCAATCATTTGTGTGTTCTAATACTTGATGAGGGTTATAGGGACATACTGTGGTGGCTTCTAATGCATCAGAACTGTTAAAAAGAAATGCATTTGCCTCGTCAAATCTGGATCTTAAATGTTGATTAATGCTTCTATCATACAAAAGAATACTGGAATAGATGCTGCAATGATTCCATTAAAAAATCTCTAAGGTAATTTTACTTTGTCAGGAAATTAGGCTAGATTTGTTTTGTTTGGCTTTTTAAGAGATTCTAAAATATATTTTTTTCATGATATGGTAAAGTTCAGAAATGATAGATTAAGTTGCACTGATAAGTGTTGTATGACCTAGCACTTAAAAATGTCCAGAACGTAACAGCCACTCAATAAATGTGTAAACATTTCTTCAAGATACTTTAGTTCTGACAGATTCATGTGAGATGCTTAATGAATGATCAAGACAGAGTTGTGTGAGTTATCTCGCTGAAACAAACACAATTGTTTTATGGTTAACAAGTGTACAATATGCAATAATTCCCTTTGGAATGTTTGAAATGCTTAGTATCTAGAAGCAGATCCTGGATGCTTAAAAAGCGTATTACAATTACAACAAACCTATAGGCAAAAGTATCTAGCAGCTTCTGGAACCTCTGGGAACTCAGACTAGCAATTTGTTCTTACTAATTTAACCCTTTCAACTTTGAGTTAAAAAGTGCTTTCCTAAAAGACAAAATCAGCTCATCAGCCTAGAGCTTCAGCTTAGACATTTTGAGTCACGTTTTCTTGGCTTAGATGTTTTGTGCCAGTGTACTTAGCACTTACCAAAGAGGGAAAATCCTGGCAGTTTTTCATTAAGGAAATTGTCAGAGGGGTGACATTTTTCACAGCATGACAATGTATGAATCACTTTTTCGAAGATGATAATATTCTACATTATTTCCTTACAGGCATGACAGGAAAGATGAGAGCTTTATCTATTTTATGTAATGTGTTACCCTTTTTCTTCCTCATGGTCAAGAAAATTTTCAAAGAAATAAGAATTTTAGCTCAGAACTGGGTTTTCACTTCAACTTTTTAAATATCAGATATTTTTAGCTACCCATCACATGATCACATCAAAATACTTGCCAGTTTGGAGACAAGAAATTTAAAAAATGATTAGTTGCTGTTTGTTGAAAGATAAGTTAGTCCACTCATAACCACAAGGCTGATAAAGAAAGGAAAGAACACTCTTTCAAAACCCAAATGATTTAAATTGTTCCATTCAATCAATTGACCCCATCTTATCCTCAAAACATATTCTAAAAATTAATTTTCTATAAAAATAGTTTAAATCATTAAATATTTGCATAATAATATTAACAGTTGGACATTTAAAAATAATAGGTGAAAAGTGCTAAACGGCACCGCGGTACATGCCTGTAGTCCTAGAACTTGGGAGGCTAAGGCAGGAGGATCACTGTGAATTCAAGGCCAACATGGACTACCTAGTGACTCAGGGCCAGTCTGAGCTACATTGTAAGACCCTGTCTCAAAAAACAAAAACAGGAAAAGTGCTATGTAATTTCAAAACTATATAATAATACCTTCACTTGATACAGAACCCTTTTTTAAAAAAATTCCAGTTATCTACTCTAATTTCAGAATTAGAATTCCTGTATTCTCATCATTTATTTCTTGAAAAGTGTAACAATCATGACCTTTCAGAGTCTTTGCTGTCTTCTGAGCTAACTTTCTCTAGATCTAGTCAACGATTCCAAAAACATGAGTTTCTACATGCAAACCCTAGGAGTAACCTGATAAAGGGCCATAACTTCAGCAGAATAGCCAGAATTTAAACCCACACCTCACCACTAAAAACTGTGTGCCCCACTTTTACTGACAATTTTTCAGGTCACATCAAGAACATTCTCTTTGTGGAATGCAATGCAATTTTATGGGAGATTTTTTCTTGGTTACTCAGCCATTCTGCCTGGACCAGCTAAAGAGCCAATGAATCCTTTTTCATTTAACTCATCAGCTTTCTTAAGTACATGAAAAATTGAATGAACAATGATTAATAAATTGTGTGGGATTATGCAACAAACATACCTTGCCAGATTGGATGACTGTCAGTGCAAGTTCTTTCTTCTCCTGGTGTCTGGCATCTACAAGAGTATCTTGTCTAGCTTACTGCAAAATTACAGAGACAAAACTGACCCACAAACCATCTGAGTCTACATAGTAATGTATGTTCCATTGTACAGTATCCATGAAAGGTCTAAAGGAAAGAAACATTCAAAGCAATGTGAGAATTATCATACAAAGGAGGCTAAACCCATTCAGAGCTGCTCTGTTTAGCAAGATGCCATCTCTTAAGAACAAAACCTAAGTCTACAAATTTACAAAGAAGCATAGTTAAAGGGTGAGGCTGTCTCATGTTGTTTGACAATGTCAACAGGGAGAGGGCTGTACTATTCTGAAATAACACATAAAGCCTTGCTGGTAGGTGAATCGGGAGCAGACTCTGGGAAAGGTAGGAAAAGAAATGGTTGTGAGTGATGTCCACAGCTCTGATCTAGCTGAGCTGTTAGACTGAAACCACTTGTCACTAAAGTGGTTGATCCATTTACAAGTAGATCCCTCACTTTCCCACATATTTACCAAGTTACTTAAGTAGAGAGTGCCATTTGGACTATTCATGGCCCCTGCAATATTCAATGGGCATTCACTTTTAGTAAATTCCATATTCATTTTAAAGTCTTGAAAACATCAAATTTCAAATACTGATAGAAGCAGTAAGAGACTCACACTCAACCCTTGAAGAATGGTTCTGTTGGTTATGGATTTCCTCAGAGTTCAGTTGGGTGTATTTGCTGGTAGATTTATTTTGGCTTCACTTTTCTATTGAATATTGTGAAATATAAGTGCAAAATATCTATTTAACCATAAAGACTGCAATTCACATTAATGAATCAAATACTACCTGTGATAAATTATACTTTTTCATAAGCGACTTCAAAAAATACCTAGTTCCCAGCTTTATTTCATATGCTGCTATTATCTATAAGAAATAGTACTTATAAAATAAGAATGCATAAGAACAGAAGCAGTATGCAGGGAGGCCTGCCCATTAGCTCAGTTGTTTAAGTGCCTGCTTAAGCAAAGCAGTCAGGCTCAGGATTCTGTGGTTCGATCCCCAGATCCTCATGCCTTACCAGACCTGCCCTTAAGGCATCCTGAACCAGCAAAAAAAATCCTTCAGAAGCAGTATGCATAGCATTCACAGGGTTGAATTTTTCTGATCATGTTTACCTAAGTCAGTGACTTAAGGTAAGTTGATTTAAACTGTCGCAGAATGGAGATGTCAATGATGCCTTTACATGGGATACCTTTTTATATAAGGGAAAGTAATCTCTTGAGAAATGAACTTCTGACTGTATAATAGTTGTCATTTTCTGTCTTTTAAAAAATGATGGAAGGAAATAAAAGGAGACTAGAAATGAAGTCAAAGGTTAAATTAGGTAGCATATGCATCATGACTACACTATGTTTCTTACTTGAATTGTACGAACTTTTTATTGTGACAAATTTAGCACAAGAAATTCTATTTTTATAAAATATTCAGTTGAGTTCATCTTTCCAGTGCTCTGAAGCACTAATTTTTGTAACTTATTTACTAAGGACGATGAAACTTTATACTATTAGAAAACTGCACATGGAGTTTTTTGGAAGTTTTTTTCTCTTCCTTTTTTTCTTGGCTTTGCCTTAACATTTCCCTCTTTAGATAAATTATTATCACTTCTTCATGTCTTCCATGAACATATTTTATTATTAAGGTCACACCTCATGTGATTTTTGTAAATGCACATAAGGTCCTGATAAACATCATTTTCTTTCCCTGGTGTAAAAGCCTGAAAGAGTAAATAAGATCCAAAAAGTTCAATAGATATTGTGAAAGGGAAAGAATCTGCTCCAAAAGAAAGAACAACTGGAATGAGGAAAAGAAGAGAGAGAGAGAGAGAGAGAGAGAGAGAGAGAGAGAGAGA